AAGCGTGCCAAAGTCGTGGTGCCTGAAGTAACTTGTGGAGAGTCGCTTCAGTTTCGTGTGATCCTTTGGCTTTCTAAATGACTTTCTGTGTGAGGAGACCTTTCGTGTTTCGAGTGGAATGACAGCATTTAAGCATGTGTTTGAGTTATGGTAGAGGATGCTCAGAGCTCTCAAGAGGTCATCAGTAGTGAAGTATCTCCACATTGATTCTACGAAGACCCAGTTCGCCTTAATATAGCTCCCATATGTTATTTGTTGTGAAGTGGAGGTATGAGCTGCATTGCTACTCAGTGGAAGTGACAGTGCACACAGTACTGTTTTGTGGTCACTACCTGAAATCTTAGAAAACACTAAGATTGAGAGGGGACTTATATCGTGACAGCATATTAAGTCTAGTACGTTGTCACCTCTTGTAAGGATAGTGACAGTTTGTTTCCTGCCAAACATGTTCAATGTATCTAAGAGTTTGTCATATTTAGCTGGGCCTGTTAATAAATCCCAGTTGATTTCGGGTAGATTGAAGCCTTCACATATGAACTTATGCTCGTATAGAAGAGTGGATACTTGCTCCAGTGCATTTATAAGTTGTGTCTCGTAATCAATAAAGGTCCCAGGTGCTCTGTAGACACGTCCTATTAGAAGTGTAGTACTTTTGAAGTGTACGTTTACCCATAGGGTCTTGTACATGTCATTGAGTTCCTTATTTTCTAGCTGTAATACAGTAAGTGTGTTCAGGAAATACATAAGGCAGCCTCCTCCCTTACCACTCTTCCTGACACATCGGAAATGTGTGTACCCATCGATGGTTATCTCTTCGTCTGGTATGTTGGAGTGACATGAATATTCAGTGGCACATTGGTTAGGACTCTCTCCGACCATGCACATGGTCCGGGGTTCGATGCCCTGCCGAAGCACACCGGATATCAATGGTTGGCCTGGAAAATTTGGGCTACCGATATTACATGCTGAAAATTCCACACTTGTACCAAAAAGACGGTGTGGAATCAAGCTGTAATCAAAAAAGTAATTATGGGGCTTTATGTACCAGTGTGTGCCTTCAGAGTCGGTAGTTTGTTTATGATAGATCTGGCATTAATAAGGATTAGGTAAAGTTGGGAGTTGAAGTAGTGTTTGAAGTATCTAAGCTCGTTAATTAGTCTCAAGTGTGGTTCGACATCCATTGGTTCTGCGTGGCTTGACTTCCTTGTGTTACGAGTATTGTCAATTACATGTTCACCTATACCTATCGAATTACTGTATGCTCCTTTTAGTGAATAGTGAGTTGTATTATTGGGTTTGGCATAGGATAAGGTAGTTCTAGGCTTGAGTAAGTTGAAAATTCGGTAAGGGTTTTTATTTGGCCTATGTTTGTACAAGCATTGGACGTGATTAATAATTGCGTGTGCACTAGACTGTGTTTGTTTTCTTCCCGATCGGGGGCCGACATTAGTGGTGCGGGTTCAGAAGATTTTACATCCCCACCAGTTGTTTGTTTAGCGCTGACAGGGATGTGGCGGATAAAAAATCATTGCCTTCCTCTGATGACCATGACTTATTAAACCGCCTGTTGTTTGGAGACATTCTAAGTATCCTTACATGTGTTTCATTATATGCATTGCTGCACTGTGGTTTGATTCCCAGAAGACTTGTGCTGTGTACTCTGTCAAAGCTTGTTTGTGTGCCATACTTTGAAGACCCAGAGTGGTTGGTAGCTGAGCTCTGAGTGTTGTCACTTGTACCATTTTGCGTGATGTTGCCACACCAGCTATTAATGTGGGCTTTAGCGTGACTTGGCATAGGTAATGACAGGGCAGTTCGACGCTTGCGGCGTACTGGCAAGCTGTGTAAGTCACTGCCAAATTTTATCGGAGGTGTGCTGCTTGTTGTAGTAAGCAGATATGTCCCACCCGTCATCAGGTTAACAGGTTACTGAGTTCGTGACTTTTTTCTATGACTAACCATAACTAATTATTGAAATAGGTATTGGTTACGGGCATGAAACTAGAAAATCACTTGTGCGAGTCTCGCAACAAAAATAGATGATGCATAACGAATCACACCAAATGTAACGCAAACGTTGAACGTTACGCTTCAATACTCTTGTATTTATCCCACATTTCTGTCAATATGCAGCTGAGCCTCACTGTACTTAAAGGGATTCGAGGAAATTTACAGGGAATACTTGGATACTTACAATTCAGTCACCGACCTTTTTATTTTATGTTTCGAGGTCAACGAAATTTGGTGTGGTCAGTGAAGATTTGTTAAAACACAGCATTAGTGCCTGCTCTTCATCCAGCTGGTGTATTTTTTGTTATTTTTCATAACCCTTATTTCCGAATGTTCAAAATGAGACAAGGATGGACTGACCACTACTGTGGGATGAAGCAAGCTGAGAAGTTGGGATGGGTGGTTGTCCTACACAGCATAGATAACTATATTAGAAACTCGGGAGTTATCCACAATCAAGTACAAAGAATAGGTATGCGCGAACACAGTCATGTGTCGTGATACATAAAACAAGTAAAAATCTGAAAATTTTAAATGGAAAAATGTATTTGTTCATGGGGCGAACAACAATTTTCAGCCTGCTGACTTCTAGGAGGCCGGTCGGTTGCTCTGTTTAATGATCTTGAGGTCATTAACCGTAGATTACGGGCATAATCTCCGGGCGGCCACCCACTCAATCAGACATGAGCCTTATTCACATGACTTGTTGACCCTTCGACATGGCCCACCCACAGTGATAGTCAGGCTGCACTTAAAATCACTCAATTAATGAAATATGAATATGATACTGGTGGCTGTTAAAGAATATATTCATTAACTGACACAGCTACATCGTAATGCAGAAAACGTGTTATCGGCACTCAAAAGTCTAAATGCCAGCCATGTGTCTTCACCAGTCCAGGTGAACGGATTGACCTAACATGAAATAATTGAGGCTTACTTGAATTCAGAATCTTCTTTGTCTCCTTACATTATTTGCTGACGGAATTGACTAAGGTTGTTTCGATTTTCCCGAAGAAGTAACTACTCTCAGGAGGATGTTGAGCATCTTTTGGCAAAGATTGGGCACTACAAAATTTCTGCATTAACATATCGCCGCACTGTATGCTCCATTGAACGACTAACTATCAGAATGTGCTCACTAACTGATGTCAGAGAGGACAGCAACCATGTAATTTCACTATAAATCAAATTCATGTAATTTAAATAATACTTATCCATGCCTGTACAACTGGTGTGTCCTACATTGATAGGAAATATATATCATTATTATTATGAGGATGACTTATCGTGATTTAAAAGACTGGCTTATGTTGAGTAAATGTAGATTGATGAAATCCAGCTCACTATACCACTGGTTATGGTTGAATTGATTTCACAAATCACTTTGACCACCGACAAGCTTTTCAGTAAATTAAAGTCTCATATAGAACGCAAATATCCACCGATTTCTCAAAAGTGTGTTACCCCTTATTTTGGCCTGCTGTGAATGGTGTCTGCATATACAGCAGCTCGATACAATGAAAATTTGACTTGTAAAACCATTACGGCAAAACCCTTTGGAACTTGTTGAAATAGCATCAAAATAGTATTGAGCGATTTGAATGACCAGTATCAGAGATGTGTTTCATGGAAAGAACGTTTGGTTAGTTGAGTTTTACGGAGGGGAAATTCAGATTAGAGAGATAATGTCAAAATTTTGAATGTTGCTCAAAATGGGTCGATAGAATTGTTTAACCAAGATTTATTACATCTGAACCGTGAGTTAATATATGTACGTGTGAGGACGTTATGAACCACTTCTGTCTTCTGATACTAAACAGAAAATAGTGATTTGTGTTCTAAATTCAGTACTTTCATTGTTTTCTACAAGCTCCTTATTCTTTTATCTGCTACAACTTTTTGCAACGGGATTGTTTGCTTTTTCACCTTTTCAGTAATTCCAGTTTGTCATGACTAAGTGACTTTTGTAGGCGATATTCAGAGTTGTTGTATGTCATCAGCCTACTCAAAGTTTATTTTATCACCCTGTGGGAAGTTTCCATGTTTTTGGTCTAGTTCACTTCAGTGTATATAACTGTGAGATCTGGAGAAGAATCATCAATTTCACCTTAGAAAATCCCGAAATATCAAGTATTTTATATAGAGAAATTAGAAAGGTTATGATAATGCACAAACAATTCTCGAAGGTTAAATAGATCCTATTGGCGTGGTTACAGTTTGTAGATCTATGCAGTCATGCGGTGAATACCATTGGGAGCAAACTAATTGGAATGATAGTGGCTGACCGAAAACTGTTGTTACGAAGTAAGATTTTGTCCATTCATCCATCCCTCTTTGTGGTCTCAAGACGATTCAGTAGATTAGTAAAAAAAGTGATAAGGTATTCGTCTGTATTAATTTGTTGTTCATGCGACTACGTTAGTAGACACTGTAATAGCCAGTGTGGACGACTATCCTGAAACGAACTTGAAAAATCGCATTGGAAATCTGTAGGGTTCAGAACAAAATCTTGTGCGTGAGGATTAAATAGATTTTCTCAACAAAATTTACTTGAACCTCAAGGACTTTGATAAAGTGTCGACCAATGAGGTATACCGTACTCACCGTTTCATCTCATCTTGTTTCTAATAAAGTGATTATTATTATGTGAGTAAATGTGAGATCACACTGTTAAAAATTATCCAATTACTTTAAAAACTGTGTGACGGTGCTGGTTCACCTGGTATGTGTGCTTAAAAGGTAAAACTCCCAACATAAAAGGATACAGACATCTATGGATTCCCCAGTCATTTACTTACTAGACTTTCTTGGCTTGTATGAAAATGAAAACCTCTCATCGGCAATGATGGTAATAAGAAATAAATTCTTCTATGATAAATTTTGTGCATTTCTACTCAATAGGCTGGTCCGACAAGCATCTCACAAAAGTTTTGCTAAATGTCCAATATTCATTTGTATCCATCAAAAGCATAGGTCATAATGCTCCAATTTTTTGCATTTCACCAGTTGTTGTCGCGCATGTGTCTTTATTTAATAAAAGTCAGCATAAATGCTGACGTTCATGGAATATACAAATGATATACATTATTTTGTTGATTATTTCAAGTTTAACTATGGGGAATGCAGAAGTTCAGCAACGCGAAGGTATGAAAATTATATTCATAGAAATCTTTTGATTGTTAGTTTTTCATTAAGTTCAGTAGACATCAACCTTTATATGAGCGTCCGAATTCAAGCCCTTTATTTTAAATTCCTCTTTTTTTAATTATTAAAGCGTCTTCACATTTTTATCATAACTAAAGGTTTCAGATTCATCTAGTAATGTATTTCCATATGTGTTTTGATGAGCGAAGGCTAACAAATCATAGTTTTTAGTACAAATATGGTGACATTCTCTACAATGAGTGGAATTCTCCTCACTGAAAATAGTTCGTAGTTTTTACAATATCACCACGCCATGTTTCAGCTGAAACTTGTATTTAAGTAAAATTCTAATGATGTTCATACTAGCGATAAGCGAAATTATTTGACATTATTCTTAGGCTGGTGACTTGTTAAAATCTGCTTTTAAAGTCAGGTAACTTTCCCCAGCCCTTATATAGCTGTCCGGATAGGTATGCATTTACTCTCCTAACAAATTGTAATTGTGTATAAAGTTTGCCATGAAATTATGTTTTAATCCAAGCTCTCATGAGTTTGCCTGAAGTGACACTTTTTCAAAAAATTAGTAAATTTTTGTTGACTATGAAGCTTATAATGAGGGAGTTTTTGGTTTCCCCAACCCTTTTAATGTCTTCTGAACTAATGTATTTGAGGTACAGCAGTCGTTAAACAGTATTCATTTGATGTGAAGAGTTAGGGGTCAAAAGTAACACATATCATGATGAACAATTGAGAGTCATGAATGGCACCAAGATAAATTTATGAACTCTGAAACAGTGTAGGAAAGATAGGATTCCAAGGCTAAAAGTTACTTGATCGGTTAAAACTTTCATTTTTTTTAGGAAAGTAATATTGATTAGCTCATGATTGTAAACTTAATGCGAAAATGACCATACAAGAGGCCGTATAGTGTTACCTGAAAAGTGAAAGTACATTTAACTTAAAACCGCAAGTATCGGCATATCTGGCATAGAGCCGTTATTCTCAGTCTTATTATATTACTATTATTTCCTTGGGTTCCAAGTAGGACATAGGGCTTCAACTACACATCTCTAATTATTCTATTTGGTGCTGTTCTCTTCAAATGGGTCCACGAATGCCCATAATCTCTCATCTCCTCCTCGCACGATCTCCTCCTTGTCACTGTGGGACTTTATTGTGATTGGTAAAGTGCTTTACTTAACAACTCTATGACAACAAAAATATATTAGGGCACTGCAACCATCAGTTATCTGTGTGTCATCCCATCCAATAACAGTTGTTAACTCTGAATACGAGGTATTTCGATACGAATGTAAAAAGTGATTAGTGGCTTGTAAAAGTGTTCTGGAAAGTGATACTCACAATGGATGTGTAGCAGTGAATAACGACTGCGTGATTTCAACCTGGAATCGGAATGAATTTACCAAATCGTGTACAACATAAGAAAACTTAAACAGCATGTCAGTCTTATGACTTTTTGTTAAAAGCTTGAAAATACATTATTTCAATAGGCTTCTTTATAAAGCATAAAATGATTTATATTAAATGTTTTTAAAATGAAACTAAAATACACATTATGTCACTTAAACCCTAGCGAGGGTCTTAGTGTTAAGTCTATTTCGGTCTGTGACGTATAACCCAGATATATATTTAGTGTAACATATTTGCGATGACACGAGAAAGCACACCCATTATTTGAGTGATCTGGTTGATATTCGCTTAATTAAGGTTCGGTTCTCAGATCTTGGGCTAATATGCCTATGTGTTAACGACTAGTTATTTTAAATTTGATTTTACTACAATAAGTAATTCCTTATTATCTATTTTTCCACATTGCTGATAACTAGTATGTAGACGGTGTCGAATAATATCGCAAAGTTCCGGGGAATTACTGCCATTACTAAGATTATAGTAACTTGCCACTATTTCTGGAGGTTATGCCAAAGTGAGAATTAACTTTAAAACCGTAAACAATATTTTACTCATGTATATATTACCAGACCTAACTGTTGGCAATTTTAGGTGATATGACATAGAGAGGTAACCTAGATTTATGCTTAAATAATATGGGCCACCAGTTAAAGGCCTTAGTATAAAGCCCCAGTCTTACCATTGTCTCAAATATTTACCAAATTACTTTGTTTTTCAAATAATATTTTTTACAGACTGAAATTATCCAGCACTTAAATATGTCTCAACGCGGTGCGTGAAGAGCTCTTTTTAATCTACAGTTTAACGCTATCATTATATATTTCTTCTGCTTGTTTTTAAGTGCTGACTGAGTTCTATCGCCCAAGTCAGCGACATCATATCCTAGTTCATGGATTGTTTAATTCCTGAACTCCTGCTTTAATCCCAGTTTCTCATCCTGCATTATTTAGTAATGCATTTTAAATGCTTTGATAGGGGATAGGTTGCTTTGAGATTGTAAGTATGTAGCGCTAATAAGCTCTCACAAATACAAACTTATTTTCAGATCTTTTTGTTTAAATCATGCCCATTAATACCGCACCATGAGTGGCTAATGCCATAATACACGCTTTGCTGCTTGATTTAGCTGACCAGATATTAAGATGAACGGAAGATCCTACTAAGGCAGATATTATTATGATAACTGGTTGCTTCATGGTCTCCATGATCTTCAGCTTCATCTTCACTTTTACTCATAGTTGGACTTGGCTGAGTGGTTTCGATTAACTGTTTTGTTGTTGTTCATTTTATAGCATTGATCTAGTTTGTTGGGGACTATAATGAACAGGAATTTCAATTCTCTAAGGTTTTCACGATGTTACTTCTAAATTTTAGTATATTGCTGAATTCTCTTAACATAATAACAATTTTTGTCAGTTATGAGCCAGTTGAAGCTGGTAATAAAATTAATTTGATTATCTTTATTTTTTCATTTCCTATATACTTTCTGTAATGTATATTACAGTGAAGGGTTCTATATACAGAGATTTAGAAGACATTGGACCCTATAAGTGCTGAAAATATACAACTCTATGAAAGGATGTGTTTTACAGTGAATATAGACTAAAAATATGAGTATTGCTATCTACGCATCATATAACTCCTTATAATAGTTGAGAAGTTGCGGGTAACACTGAAAACTGTTTCCTTGACAGTTTAGTTTGATAGAATGTTATTTTGTTTTTTGTGGTTGACCACTACGTTTCTGTAATCCGAAGCATATGATCCCACAGCTGGAAAACTCTGTCTATGTACCATTTCACTTGTTCCAGTGAGTCTGGGTATATCAAATGTTCGACGCACATTTTGTTCTAGAGGGAGCAACAGCTCTAAATTGTGTGATTACAAATTATTGAGAGTGGAGCAGTAAAAAGCATAGTAATTAAACATTTGGTGAGAATATTTATTTTATCTCTCCAACTTCTTCCTATAGAATTATCTATAAGACAATAAATAGCCTATCAGCATCATCTGTGTTACCAAACCATTATTATAGAAAAAGAGAATCCAGAGCCTTGTATACAACAGTAACCCGTTCAACCGCTTCCTCTTCCATAAAATTAATCAGTTAATGGTGAAGCATTTGTAAAAAATAACAACAAGACACCCCTTCTACTTCTCATGTAATACCCCCCTATTTTCCCCGGTGCTTTCTCTTACAGAACCTGGTTATGTAAGTATTTCGGCCCTATTACGCAATCCATACCCATAATTATTCAACTTTACTATGCCTTCATCACACTGTGATTAATATTTACTGATTCTAACCGTTTTATATTTATTCTACTAGTTAACATATTTTTTTAATGTGAAACTGTTGGTATAATTCCCTGCAATAAATATCTTTTCGTAGGATCCCGTAATTTCTTCTTCTAAAACCAAATAATCAAGAACTCAGGGAAATTTTAACAAGTGTCCCTTTTCAATAATGTTACTGTCTAGAATGTGCGTTGGTGGCATAGCGGTTAGGACGCTCGCCGACCATGCACATGGTCCGGGGTTCGATCCCCGGCCGGCGCACTCCTTTACCTCGCCGAGCCAGAAATAATGCTGGTAAAGAGGAAAGGTTGGGCATGAGGCTAGCAACCCCATCCTGTAAAATAAACACTGCTACAGAAACTTCAAGCCACTAGCTTGAAGCCCTATGTTCCACTGGGGAACGTGAAGGAAAAAACAAACAACAACTGTCTAGAATGGGCAAACAGGATCACTTATGGGATCGAACACCTATCCTTTATTTCACGTGATCAGCGGTTGACTATTGATTTCAAATATTGGTCGACATAAACTCCGGCAGTTATCTAAACAACACAGACATTGTCTTCTTGATCATTAGTGTCATGATGGTCGAAAATGTAGAGGTTATTCTTCATCTTTCTATCATTTTCTTAGTTTATCGTTAATTAAGTGATTACTGAAGCTGAGTTCCATTTTACATAACTTTGTAGAAGAGAATTAATTACACTTTTTGAATTTCCGAAGTTGCCAACAGTTGATAAGAAATATATCTGATAATTATTCACTTCAATAAGATGATTTTATGTGTACTCTTTAGTCGCAAGTTACATAGCCATCGAAAACTTCTCAAACATAATTTAGCCTCGTTTGATTTACAAATATTGGTCTAAAGGCCTGTAAAATGAAATTACTACTCGCCCCCTCAAAATACAAGAGATTCAGTATAAATTCTTTGCTCTGATGAATTAATTAAATTACTCATATATACACCCTATCTTCTAGACAAACACCACAAATTGATATTCTCAGCTTTATTGTCACGTGAAAGTCATAGCTGTTTGATTAGCAAATCCGTGGTGGTTAAATTTACCTTCAGTTGCTGCCTCCGCATTGCTATGAATCACTAAATGATGCTGAGTAATAAAGTTTTGTAAGTGATGTAGTGAGACAAAAATGTAAACATGTGTTGGTATTTCAATTAGATTGTTCTCTAATATACTTGTTGTGACAGAAAGCATCATGTTTTTAGTTTTCGTTCCTTTAAACGGAGTATTAATTTCAATTTTGAGTCA